CCACGACGGCGACCTCCCCGAGCGACGGTGACGACTGGAGCGACGGCGGCGCACGGCTGGAGCGGCGGCGGCGACGGCGGCGCTAGACTGCACGGGGCTAGGGCGCTACGGGCGGCGAGGGACGAAGGCGAGGGTGGCGGCGGGTAGCGGCGGGCTTGGGGGTCAATTTATAGCGGCTAGGAGGCGGCGACGGAGGCCCACGGCGACCGGCGACGAGAAGGAAAGTCTAGGGTTCGGAGGAGAGAGACCGATCCGATTCAACCTTGAATCCACGAATTTCCAAACGATTTTAGCCGATGATTCCAAAAGAGAAAAGATAGAGGAGATCGAGAAGATCATTTCCCCTCTATTGATTTCATCGGAAACGGAAAGGATCGGCCGGATTGGAATGGCGGCGGCGGGGCGCGGCTAGGGTTTCGCCGGGAGGAAGACGACGGGCCGGCCCCACCTGTCAGCGGGCGAACGCGCGCGCGCGGGCGGCTGACTGGGCCGATTGGGCCGAGGGAGAGAGAGAACGGTTTGGGCCGACTTTCGGCCCAAAGCCTAAAGAGGATTTTAAGAACTTTTTTCAATTTAAATTATTCATTAACTGCAATTCCATTTATTAAAAATACTTCTTTAGCTCAAATAAATCCCAGAAAAATCTAGGAATTATAGAATTAAGCAAAGTATTTAATAAAATTTTATCTGGCCCCATTTTATATTGGAATTTATTTATTAAAATTAGATCTTCTCTTCTAGGCTTTTTAAAATAAATTCTAATAATTCCAATTTAACAACAATTTATAATTTGGAGATTTTTAGGGTGTGATAGTTCTCCCTATCTTGATTTGGCTTTCCTCACCGCCGATAAGAGGATGTTGGGGGATGGGAAGGAGATGCTCAAATTGCGGGGCAGGGCGGGGATTTCAAAATCAGGCACTATATTGACTGGGACCTCGAGTACATCGGTTTTATAAGTTGAGAGATGCGTTATATCTAGTATTGTTGTTCGAGGATGTAATTCAAACTCGCCACCAAGACGAGGGACCTAAAGTGAACTTATTCCTTTGACGGCTACAACAAATGTTGCTGCTATGGGAAGAATTAAGGGTTAATTGAATTCATGTCACTATAAATTTTACAATTTTAAATTCTACTATTATTATTCATGTAATTAAAATCATGCCATCACAACAAATCTAATGCCCCTATCTCTTTGCTTTAATGGATGACCGACATGGATAGCGCTAGTGGAAACACTGACCAGCGGCGATGGTGGAAAGATGACAGCGACTGGGGACCAAGACATGCACATGGTGAGGAGGGAGTCACACCAAGGATTGACGAAGGTAAGGTAGAACGTAGAATTGGCAGGGATGGTGGCCCTTTCCTTCTCGGTCACCGCTACCACCTTCAGGATAGCTGCATCGATCACCACCCACGGATCCTCCTGCTTCGCTAGTTTCGGCGCCGTAACAAACGAAGACTAGTTGTTGCCTCAACCATCAGCGTAGAACTGTGTCGAGGCAACCGTAATAGAGCTCTACCACCGGTTGTACACAACTATGCCTAAACCTGCCCGCCAGGGATACACCAGGGCCGTTTCTACTGGAGTGGTGGTGCCTCTTGGCTCGAGCACCGCCACAAGTGGCTTCGCCCAGATTTGGAGAGAGCGAGAGAGGGGGCCGCCGGATTTGCTAGGGCCGAACCCTAGCGCCAGAACAAGATTCGAGCCCTAGCGGCATTGCCGTTGTTTGGCCGTCGTCCTTGCATCATTAGCGTCTTACCATCCTCCACTTGCCCCCGCGTACCGACATCCTCTGCTCATTCTCCCTGCGCCGCTAGAATCAGGCTGTGTTTGAGGGGAGGAGATATAGGAGATTGGGAAGATACGCAAAACGAGGTGAGCCATTAACACATGATTAATTGACTATTAAGTATTTTAAACTTTAAAAATGGATTAATATGATTTTTTAAAGCAACTTTCCTATATAATTTTTTTACAAAAAAACGCACCGTTTAGTAGTTCGGAAAGCGTGCGCGCGGAAAACGAAGCAAAACTCACTCACAATCACCCAGATCACCCAGGAAAGAACACAGCCTCAGTCTTCATTCTCGCATCGCATTTGGCTGCCGTCATCCTCGTGATGTCCTCGTCCCAAGGCTGACAACTCACATGATTTGCTTGGACATTGGTGATGGCAAGGACAGCTACGGCATGAGGGCAGGGACATTTTAGTACATACAAAAATATTGCCTAAAAATTATTTGAAACTTGTTTCAGGCGTACAGTGTGGTATGGATCAAATTTTGTGCTTCTTATGATGGTATGGTTTCAGTTATATAAATAGTAATAGATTTTAAAACCTCAAAAGTTATAATATTTTATAATGATATAGATCAAATTAACGCAGGATTAAGAGGGCAGAAATTGACTCGGCACGTTTCTGCATACTGACACGCAACTGTCTGTCAGCGTCAAAATTAAACATATTCTTTTTTTACGCAAAATTAAACATATTCTTATGCAGCACGTGGTATCACTGGCAAATTAGGCTGTTGCTTTCTGAAGCGGTGCTGTGTGTTGGAATCTTGGAGAGGAGGTGGATATGTACTAAAAAACTGACCTCTTAATATCGTGCTCATTTAGAACGTAGAATCTGATATAGAATAAATAAATAAATGCTGCTACTCCATCCAATTTTCTCTACTAGGGGTTATCAGTTATAAGGCGTGCTCGTAGTAAAAAAACAACCGTAAAATTTGAATTTCTTTAGAAGACCTAAAATTTAAATTCTATTAGGTATATACTCGACTGCAACGGATTCATATGACTATATCATTGTGAATAGGTGCACAAATATGATTACTCCCTCCGTGTTTTAACATATGACTCCATTGACTTTTTAATAATGTTTGACTATCTGTATTATTTATTTTTTTGCAAATATAATAATATTTATGACATACTTAATGAATATTTGATGATAAATCAAGTCACAATAAAATAAACGATAATAACATATTTTTAATAAAACGAATAATCAAACATTGGTCAAAAAGTCATTGGTCAAAAAATCAACGACGTCATACATTAAAATACAGAGGGAGTATTTTCTTTACCATCACGCGTGAGGGGAGGCAGGCTAATGCGACATTATCTTTAAAATCGAATGGAAGTAAAACTCAAAATTTACAAAGTAGGGCAGGTCAAACAGTTCTCTTTCAATAAAACTTGCCCACCAAAGTTTAAGTTCTAAACTTGACATGTGTGGTCGTATTTGTCGATTAATTATTTTTCCAGTAGAGAGCGATGAACGATACAATTATGACAACATACTTATAGGGTCATAAAGATTGGTAGGGTAAAGTTACGCTGTTCAATTAAATGTGGTTTTTATTAGGGATAATCCTAATCTACGTTATATGTAATATGAGAGAGTATGAGCCTCTGTGGCACGAATTGAGATCCTCTGCCTTTAAATACATCATGCCTTTTATTACTGACACGTGATCCCATATAGTTTATCGGTTTCACATGCCAATGACAAACACATTTTGAAGGTAGTGGAGCCTGATCCCCGTGGCACCCCTCTGGCATCATGCCAAACTTGCCAAGCGAGAAAAGCGATCGGTACACACATCGTGGTGACCACGAAGGAGGAGCCAGCCACGTGGACCGCTTCAACGCCAGGAGATCCGCGCGCCACGTCGCTGCCCTGTGGGGCCATCCCTCGAGGGCATCTCAATCTCTATCCATCAATCCGGCCCGGCCCCACCTGCAGTTGGAGAGAGCGCGTGGCAGCGTCCACGTCACCAGTGGGGCCCTGGAACGTACTACGCCAGATGTGACCTGATGAGGTTTTGCTACCCTCCTCTGTCATCTCGTCATTACTGACATGTGGGCCCACGCTTCACCTTGGCCCACCGGTCATTGGCGTCCTGGTTAATGTGCGAAAATCAAGGAGAGTGGCCATCAACAGGCAGGAGCCATGAGCTGGCCCCCACGAGAAGTTGTTGGTGTTGGGATTGGGAATCTGTTGGCTATTGCTTGGGATGAAAATTAAAGGAAAATCTATAAATTTTGTTCTCAAATGAAATGAAGGGTTGATTTGGTTTGTGGCCTAAATTGGTCTTACCAATTCGTCAATGTCAAATTTTGGTAACTTTTAGCATGGCTAATTTTGGCAAAAGTAAAATTATGTTTGGATTGAAGCCAAAATAGCCTAAATTAACTGTTAAAATGGCATATTTTTTTAGGTATGTCAAAATTTGGCTCCAAACCAAATAGACAATAAACACTATTGAAATTGCCAAATATTGGTAAGGCCAATATAGGCCTCAAACCAAACCAACCCGAAGTTAACCTGTGATCCTCCTCCTGATCATGTGCTCACAGAGGTTAATTTCTCTGAGCTCAGCAAACCATGTTCAGTTAATCAATTTTTGCCATCAAGTTAGAGTGAAAACATGGTGAAACCCTGAATACACTTGGACTGGGTTAACGAGATGATAATCGTCCCATGACTTGGAACAAATGGCCATCATGACAGTCACATCAATATATTATTAGCACTACATCATACACCTACCAAATAATAACAAATAACCTTAAGTCCTTAACAAATAATAAGTGCACAAAAACACGGAGAAAAAATAACAAAAAAGATATCCACTCGCAAATCAAAGAAAGACTGGCAGAGTAAGGCTGTCTTTAGATCACACTGAAATTTTGGTTGAAATTGGTACGATGTGATAGAAAAGTTGTGTGTGTATGAAATGTTTGATGTGATGGAAAATTGGAAGTTTGGAAAAAAACTTTGGAACTAAGGCTATGTTTAGTTCAGCGCAAAGTTTGGATTTTGGTTAAAATTGGAGATGATGTGACCGAAAAGTTATGTGTGTATGACAGGTTGATGTGATAGAAAAGGACTAAAGTTTGAATCCATCTAAACACAGCCTAAACAGGACCTAAACAAATTCCTAACTACTCTAGCTAAAATATCGCAGAAACCCTCCCCACAAATTAATTGATCTGCTTCCTCCTCCCCTCCTCTCATGTCATTGTCCTGCAATACACGAGGAGCAAAGAGTTGTGTGTAATCCTCCTCCTACTCTGGGTCAGCTCTTAATCCCTTCAACTTCCGTCGGTTGGACGCCACCGGAAGCCAATCCCTGTTTGGTGTTTTACCCCCAATTTTGTCAGATTTTTTGGAGCGAAACCACGAGCTGTTTGAAGTGTTCGGCTTCGGAATCTCTTTCTTGGAGTTCTAGGAATGGGGTTTTGATACAAAGATTGAAGCCTTTTTGTTAGCGTTGGTGCAAAGATTGTATTGTATTGTTTTTTTTTTCTGCGATGGGTGGAGGCGTCACGGAGCGGCTCCCGGAGGGCAGCAGCGAGCCGCTGCTCCCGACGAAGCGGGAGGGCGGCGGCGGCGGCGGCGAGTTCGCCGGCGCGGTGTTCAACCTGTCGACGACCATCGTCGGGGCCGGAATCATGGCGCTGCCGGCCACGATGAAGGTGCTGGGGCTCGCCCCGGGGCTCGTCGCGATCTTGCTCGCCGCGCTCCTCACCGACGCCTCCATCGAGCTGCTCGTCCGGTCCAGCCGCGCCGCCGGCGCGCCGTCGTACGGCGCCGTCATGGGGGACGCGTTCGGGTGGTGGGGGAGGCGGCTGCTCCAGGTCTGCGTCGTCGTCAACAACATCGGCGTCATGATCGTCTACATGATCATCATCGGTAAAAAAAAAATTCGATACAACAACCTGAATTTTGACTTCAATATTGCCTTCACTATTTAGTTGTTCATGTGACTCTAGAATTGCTGAATATTTCATTTTCTTTTTTACTTATAACCATTTCTCTAGAAGTTATATCATCAGTATCGGTTCGTGTGGAATGTAGAGTAGATTGCAAATTCTGAACTAACTCAAATGCAATTGAGTAATCGATTGAGGAAGTTTGGCCTTCTAATTGTGAACTGTAGGATATGATGCCTTCTGAATAAACTCGGCAGTTTTGCTTACATGTGAGATTTAAGTTGCGTTCTGCATTGTGCTGTAGATAATCGTAACTGTTTATTTGAGGCCATAATTTCGTGCTGAGGCATGGCAGTGTATCTGACATACACATTGGGGTACTTCACTCTAGGTGATGTGCTATCTGGAACCTCCTCTGGTGGTGAGCACCATTATGGTGTTTTAGAAGGATGGTTTGGGCCACAATGGTGGAACGGGCGTTTCTTTGTCCTCCTGGTTACAACTCTTGTTGTATTTACTCCACTGGCATGTTTGAAGCGTGTCGGTAAGTAGTCTCTTCACTTAGCCTTATACTTTCGTGAGATTTTATTTTGTACCATTTTGTCGTACTGCCAATTCATGACATCGCTATGTTTTTGTTTGTTTCTTGCAGATTCACTGAGTTACACATCTGCCATATCCGTTGCTCTGGCAGTTGTTTTTGTTATTATTACTGCAGGAATTGCTATTGTCAAGTTGATAAAGGGACAAATTCCAATGCCTAAGTTGTTTCCTGATGTTCCCGACTTGGCATCTATTTGGGAACTTTTCACAGCAGTGCCAGTTCTTGTCACTGCTTATGTTTGCCATTATAATGGTATGAGACAAATTGAAGTTTTGACTTGTTGGTGCATTATAAAATTTTATTTTAGTAGGGAAGACTTTCTTTCAATTTTCTTTTAGATAATGTCCTGATGTCTTATAAAAGCCCGAATAGGGTTGCTTACTTCTAAGTTTTCTAAAGAGATTTGATTGATATTTTGCAGTCCACCCAATTCATAACGAGCTGAAGGACCCTTCTCAGATTAAGCCAATAGTACACACATCATTGGTTCTATGCTCAACTGTCTATATCACAACAAGTTTCTTTGGATATCTCCTCTTTGGTGAATCTACGCTGTCTGATGTGCTCGCCAACTTCGACTCCAATCTTGGTATTCCATACAGTCAGATGCTAAATGATGCTGTTAGAGTGAGCTATGCTGTTCACCTTATGCTTGTGTTCCCCATGATATTCCATGCACTACGGCTTAATTTGGATGGGCTTCTCTTTTCCTCATCAAGTCCTCTGTCTTCCGACAACCGAAGATTTTCTGTAATGACAGCGGTACTTCTCCTAGTTATTTTCCTATCAGCGAATTTCATTCCGAGCATCTGGGATGCCTTCCAATTTACTGGTGCAACTGCTGCTGTGTGTATCGCCTTCATTTTTCCAGCCGCGATCACTCTAAGGTAAGTTAATGGATTAATGTTCATTGTGATGCTTTTATTTTGTTCCACCTCTACATATATTATGAAAAAATGGCTGGGATATTTATTCCGTTATCTCAAAAAAAAAAAGTGTTATAGTACTTCTGCTAACATGCACGAAGAGAAGTGAAGAATTCTACATTTGCAGATTTCCACACTGTAGTAATTGCTTGTTTTGATATCACCTTTTCAATGTTGTGATGTTATGGCTGTCTAATTTATTTTGCTTCTAATTTTGCAGGGATCCACACAGTATAGCAAAGAAGTGGGACAAAATCCTGTCCATCTTCATGATTGTTCTTGCAATTGTATCAAACGTAGTAGCTGTGTATAGCGATGCATATTCAATGTTCCACAGGAAAAGTTCCCCTTCCATAGCCTGATATTCCAAAATCCTATTGGCGAGTCAGTGGATTCTTTATCTGAAAGATGGCTTGTACATTAGCTAGCAAATAAAATCATTATTTAGGCAAGTATTTACGGGATTTATTTTACGGTTTATTTGGCAAACAACCCTTGACTCAATTATGTTGAGTTGGATGTATCTATAGGATGGGTGTGTAAACTTTGGTCCGAAGTGTTTTAGTCCAATGTACAATTCAAGATCAATTTGAATCAAATGTGAATTATGGAGTTATTATTGTAACAAAAGATAAACAATTATTTTTTCGAATGTAAATCACTGAAATGGCAACTCTGTTCATGCATTTGCACTTCTGTATAAACATGCTACTAATCTGGTTTCTTGGATACAATAAAATTGGTGCTTTTTGTTGTTTCTTGTTGAAGGTGTCATTCCAGCTGTAGCCGTTGGCTTAGCAGAACAGCCTTATCCGCTAATGCTGCGTTTCGTTGCAGCAGATTAAAAAAAATCATATTTATCTATTTTTGTATTTAAAATAATCAGTACTCAATTAATTATACACTAATAGCTCATTTGATATCTTTTGAATCTTCTCCTTTCTTGAGACATTGTTTTGGAGATGGAGATGAAACACTAGCTGACTTTATACGACAACTGCACACATTCGTCGTATGCTTCTTGAGACATTGTTTTGGAGTAGTTGTGGACCTTTTTTCCTTAGATTTGTTTCGGTTATTTTGATTACTTTTCTTTACTGACCGTGTGCATCCTAATAGATACAGAAGTGGATAGTGTAATTTCATTTCTCAACAAAATCTTACTATTATATGATGGAAACGAAAAATGTTAGCAACAGATGATGAAGTAAAACTAAAGATAGTAGCTGCATTTTTTTTTGCAGCCCCATCGTTTGGTTGATTTGAGGAAAAAGCGAAACGACGTATGTCGGTGATATGGGCCTGGCGGTATGCGAAGTATGGGGGAGTCACCTTCCCGTCCATCCACGCGGCCCTACAGCCTGGCCCTCCCCCAACACCTCGGGCAACGCAGAGGCAGCCAGGGGGCCTCGGGGTGCCACGTCACGCCCCTCGAGCCCTCGCGTTGCCTCGCCTCGAGGCCCTCGCCCAACCGCCACGTGGTGAGGGGAGCGAGTGGGGCGGAGACCCAGGCTGAACCATCATCAATGCGCGGCGCGCCAACCGTCCCTCACCGCATTTAATGCAGTAAGGGCGGACGTGCGGCGCTGCCCGATTGACCCACGTCAATCGGGCGTGACCAGACTGTGACCGGCCTGTCGCCGGTCACGTCTGATCGGACGGGCGGTAGTGCCCCCACGTTCCGCCCTGTACCCGGTGGAGTGGGGGCAGGTATGCCCCGTCCCATCGAAGCATCATCTAGAGCCCTCTCCACATGAGATGGACCGCCACAAGTCTCCATTCATTTAAGAGGGAATGACAAGGGTGTCCCCCGTGTCAGGCGGGGGGCGGCGTTGGGCCCCACTCGAGGACGGACGGCTGCTTAGCTTCCGGGCGAAGGCACGAATCGTGGTCCGGTCTAAGCGGAGTGGGTCCCCCTTTCGTGAAGGAGTAGGTAGAGGTGGTGTATGTGGTATCCCCTTGAATTATAAAAGGAGGACCTTGCCCACCGAGGAAAGGGACGACTCTCGGTGAGCCTAAACCTCAGGGGAAGAAGAGCGAGAGTACTCTCTGGAGTGTAGGAACCTTTGTAACACTCAGCCATAAATCCCACACACAGGAGTAGGGTATTACGCTCCATAGCGGCCCGAACCTGTATAATCCCGGCTCTCGCGCGTGGTCTCAGAAAACTCTAGGCTGATACATGATCTTGATCAGCGCGCCCTTTCCCCCGGTCGAACTCATAAAAGGGGATCTCTCGATCACCCGCTAGAGAGGGTCACCCCTCGATAACGTATTTGCAAATGAAAAATAGTTTGCGAATAAAACTTTTATATACGTATTCTTAACGATATAAGAGCAAAGACCAAAAATATACTACAATAAAAAAAAATCCCAAAATCAACTCCGAATTTAAAATTGAAAATACAAAATTTGACTCATAAGCTTTAAGCGAAAAGATGAGCCGTTAATCTTGATTCCGGACCGCTGGTTGGGAGATGGACGGCGTAGATTGCCCAACCCGCACCGCTTAGCCAACGCCCCGCCGACTTGGCCGCGCTCTCGCCGCCTTCTTCCCCCTTGTCGCCGTCGCCGAGCCGCCTCCGCCTCACCGTGCCGACCACCACCTCTCCCAACCTCGCCGTCGAATCCTCTCTCTCTCTCTCGTCTCCCCGCTTCGCTTCCACCTCGCACTCACACTCCCATGGACCCCTCCATGCCTCCGCCTCCACCTCGAAACCCTAACCCCTCCTCCGCCTCCATGCCGCCCCCCCCGCCACCGCCCAAGTTGGAGCCGGCGTCCAAGCCCGAATCCACTAACCCTAACTCCTCCATGCCGCCGCCTCCGCCTCCACTCCCGGTGGAGGGTGCGAGCACTAGCTCCTCTATGCCTCCGCCTCCGCCGCCACGGCCCGCGGCGCCGCCGCAGCCGGAGGTGGAGGGGGCGGACGCGTCGGCCGAAGGGGGCACTAGCGCTAGCGATTCCGAGGCGGATGAGGCGGCGGGGAACTTAGGTAGGGGCTCCAGGGATATTGAGATGGCGGAGGCGGCGGCGCCGCCGCCATCACAGCAGCAGCAGCCGAGGCCGCGTGCCCCGTACGCCATACCCGAGTGGAGCGCCGCACCGGGCCACCCCTTCTTCCTCGAGGTTCTCAAGGACGGCACCATCGTTGACAAGCTTGACGTGTCAGTTGCTGTCTCTCTTCACCCTTAGCATGATTGTCTATTGTCTATAGAACAATTGCCACTACCTCTTTGCTCGTAGCCTCATATTTTGGTTAGCGCTCGGGGTTATGGATTGAAAATGGCATGAATGTGTCTGCTTTTATATTCATGTTTGGTGTTACATGTGACAGGTCCAGGAAAGGAGCTTACATGTTTGGTCGAATTGATCTTTGCGATTTTGTATTGGAGCATCCCACTATTTCTCGCTTTCATGCTGGTATGTTACTATGCTTTCATCATTGTCTTTTCAATTATGACATAGGTAAAACTGTAGAAGAATCAAGATTCAAAATCCTGGTGTTTAACTTAGTGGCTAGCTTGCATGTTCCGAATGGTTTTGCATTCTTAAAAATTGTCTTGTCCTTGAGGGGTTTTGTTGCTGATGTTAGAAAAGGAAAATGGCATTCAGTCTCAGGAATAGCTTTTTGCATCATCTTTTTACCAATTGATCATATATGAAATGTTGACAAACTGGTAACCAGCCTGTCCTTGTTCTTTTCACATTGAGGAGAACAAAGCATAATTGCTATTCATGATGCTGTGATTTCCGTGAACATATATGAAATAGCATTGCATGAGGAACCGATGAAACTTACCCAGTAAATTTGGCTTGAAAGGTTAAACTTTCACTTCAAACTCTACAACTTGTGAATACCTTCAGCCCTAAATAGCAGAAAAAAAACACAACAAAATTCAAGAATTTGAGAGACCAGGTTATGAGATTTTCTTGTGCAGAGCTCTATTATTTTTAACTTACAAAAACATTTTATTTCAAGTGTTTATGTATGAGCACTTGTTGCCTTTCTTGGGAGGTATCCGTCTTTAATATTCGAATAATCTCTCAACTCCAGTGTCACTATCATAGTGGACATTATTTGCTAGCTAGAGAAGGAAATGAATGGATTAGGTAAAATTGGTACTATTAGTTTGTAATATAGAATATTTTCTTGTTTAGTGCTTAAAGCAAGACATTCATGAACTGCTTTTATGCTATTTTAGTTTTGCAGTTTAGAAATGATGGGGAGGTTTTCCTTTATGATCTTGGAAGCACACATGGGTCCTTCATCAATAAAACTCAGGTAATAGTCTTCTGTCATATATCTTACTTCAGAGAAAGCTTCCCCCTTATCAAAGCTCAACATATCTTTATACCTTAAAGCTTTATAAGCTTTTGTCATGAGTGCATTCTGTCGTTGCTCGTGCTCTTTTATTTAAAAAGCAGTGATTTATGTCAGTAGTTTCTTATCCTGTTGCGTTTTAGTTCCATCATTTATCTCAACCTTATTGTATCGCATTGTAAATTTTAAGAAGTCACCTGCCACATTAATTATTTATATGGAACATTGCAGTAATATTTACAATTTGTTGTTCATATTATATTCTCTGATGTTATTTGTGAAAATACTAGGTCAAGAAGAAGATATATGTGGAAATTCATGTTGGAGATGTAATTCGATTTGGGCAGTAAGTGATCTTGTTAATTAATTGTTTAATTTTTTTGTTGCCTAATTCTATGGAACTTACTGGCCCTTCTTTCCTTAAATGTTTCTATTTTTTTTATTGAGTTGGTGCTGTTGTTACTTAGTACAATTGGACTAATCTTCTCGTCGTATTTGCCAGATCATCACGTTTGTACATATTCCAAGGACCATCTGAGCTGATGCCCCCTGTAAGATTCATCTGTTCTTTCATATTTTCGTTACCTTATTTGGATCGTTCAACCATCCACAATTTTGTCAGTGTTATTGATGATGTAGTATGCTGTTTATTCTTATCAAATTCTGCTTTTGGATGTCATATTGAAATGAAGATTTTTTTCTACCAGTTAGGCATGTTCGATTTCTTGGCAGTGATCTTGTAATACTTTCTGAAGTAGTGCCAATTGAGTGTGGCTAGTAAAATCATAGCATGCTATATCAGATCTGTGCTTATGTTGGATTTCTTTGGAGCTCTGTTTCTTTTTGAGAGGTTCCTTTATGCAATGGGTCACACCTATAAAAGCTTCTAAAATACTTATTTTTTTCCAGAAATAGTTCTCAGAGAAATTCATTTCAATACGAAGATATATTATCATGTAACAAGCAAACATACATGAAGTTGAACTAGTTATTCTTCATTCTAACTTCACTTTGATAATTTTAACTGTTAAAAACCTCATAATTTGATCATGTTCTTTGTTATTACGAGGGACATTTTCACATCCAGTGAATAGTCCAGTGAATCAAATTAACCTATCCTGTTGTTTAAAGTTGCTTGAATTTACGTATTTGGCAGGAAAAAGATATGCAGAAGCTTCGGGATGCTAGAGTTCAGCAAGATATGCTTGATCGTGAAGCTTCCCTTTTACGTGCAAAAAATCAAGCAGCTTTAGCAGAGGGTATCTCATGGGGTATGTCTGAGGATGCAGTCGAAGATTCTGCAGAGGTTAGTTGTTTTTGCAAGAATTATATTTTGTATATTGATAAATTTACATAAATATTTGTGATGCGTGTAATCACGTAAACTGTGTTTTATTGAAATTTCCAAAGTTCATATTTATATTTCAGCATTACATCATTTGTTGCATTTATATTAGGATGAAGCTGATGAGATCACATGGCAAACCTACAAAGGTCAACTCACTGATAGACAGGAGAAAACACGAAGCAAAATAATAAAGCGATTGGAAAAGGTAAACATTACTTGTGCTGACTACTGAGATTTGATCTCTATGCAATGTTCTTTGTGACTTAGCTTAACCAACTTTCTTGTGGATTTATAACTTCATTTTATCTGGAAAACTATTATTTGTGAATCTGAAATGTGTGCTTCTTGTTACATGGACTGTCAATTCTGATTTCTATTGTTCTTTAAAAAGTAACTTCAACAAGTACTGAAGACCATTGATTAATAATATCTGGATGCTGGAAATCGGGGATATGTTGTTGAAATTTGGGGGGTGGTCTAGACTTTTTCCTTCCCATGGATGCATATGGTTTGCACCTCTGCTTGTCTTACAAGTTTATCTTTCTGTCTTTGTTTCAGATTACCAACATGAAGAAAGAAATTGATGCAATAAGAGCTAAGGACATTTCTCAAGGTGGGTTAACCCAAGGTCAACAAACACAGATTGCACGGAATGAGCAAAGGACATCTCAGGTTAGTGGATCAAATGCTTCATACCTTCTTGCACTACCTTTTCATATCATATTACCAGTCCACCACCAACGGGTATCATAACAAACCTTTTTTCCTCAGCTTATGGAGGAGCTGGAAAATTTAGAAGAAACTTTGAATGACAGTATACGGGAAAGTCTTGGTGCTCGCACTGGAAACTCAAATCGTGGTAGTCATAAAGCAAGTCTTGAGGAAGAAGATGACATTCTTAGGTTTGTCTTCTAATAAATTTTGCCTAGCCTGTTATGCATTTTTTGTTTACGATATTTGTTGGTTGTTATTTGAAATGATATTCCTTTTCTTTTAATTTAAATCTAGTTAGATATGAACTGCACTGCTGAATTTGGTTGATCAAGCTTGGCTACTAAATTTCCTTTAGATAGTTACTGCAAACTAGAACACGGATAAATGTACTAGGAACTTCTACCTTGCAACCTATTATCAAATTATTTATATTTTATCCAATTGCATAAGTTTTGTCCTGTCTGCTGGTAGACGCTTATATAGCTGTACATTGTTCATAAGTATGATTTAAGAAATTTATCTTTATATATGCTCATTGTCGTGTACTGATTAATGGATTCTCAAATAATTTAGTGACGAAGATGACTTCTATGATCGGACGAAGAAGAAATCTTCTAGTCATAAATCCAGTGAGCAGCAAGTGGAGACTGCTGATAGTCTTCTTGATAAAAAAGATACCATAACCAGCGATATTGAAAGTAAAAAGAAATTGGTTGAAGAAGAGAAGAATAAGTTGGCAAAAAGTGAGAATGCGGATGTTGGGGACGACCTTGATGCTTACATGAGTGGATTATCATCTCAATTAGGTATGGTGCTGTAGTGCCTACAAGGTTTATCATCTCAGAATTTTGACATGCTTCAATTTTCCTTAAGAGTTCCGGTCAAAAAATTTTCCTTAAGAGTGTAGTCTATGGTATCATGTCACTAAGAATCTGTTGCTGCCTGTTCACCTCGGTGTTTATTGTTGAGTCATTGAAATTTGTTGAGTGGTAGTTTTGTATGTAGTTCTTTCCATGGTCTGTAATTGCATCTGGGGAAGTAGTGGTGAATGAAAATAAGGTAAATGAGCTTCATATAGTTCTGGTTTGAAAGTTCCCGTGATCTCTTTTGGAAACTTGACTTGCTATTTGGTAACGACACTGGCCTCAAAGCAACATTTGCAACTGAAATGACTCGACCTCTCTGTACGATTTGATAATCATCAACTCTATTTTGGGACAATCAAGTTCATCTGAGTACAGTTGCAATTACCCTTCAGCAATATGTCTTGTCATTTTCTCTACTACTAAAAAGAGGAGTTGATGGTGGTTGTTTGCCTATGCATCCTCAGTTTAGATCATTTGTATTGTAGTATCCATTTTCTAAAAAATCCCATTATTTACACGTGTATTTAGTTGCCTGTTGTTTTGATAAAGTTATACTTGTATGTAATATGGGTGCAATCAATTAGATTAGAGATAACTATTTTTTTTACTTCATATTTGTGGTGTGTTTGTTTTTAGATTTGGCATAATGCACAGGTACTGTCTAGAACAATTTTAATGTAGTTGTTAATCATTTGGTTTGGTCTAAAAAACATGGTCACATTAATATGGATATTTTAGCTTGTTTGCGTTGAGGAACTATGATCAATGTTATTTCCCAGCAATACTTTTAGCTTCTGTGATAGTGGGAACTATGAAATATTTCCCTTTTCTTTGTTTTCTTCTTTACTTATTCTTGCATTGTACTTGGCATTAGTTGATAACTTAATATAAACCACGAATCCATGCAACACTTGAAGTTCATGGTATGCAACAATTTCCTTCTAATTATATTTGTAGTGCTATTTTCTGAACATATTGATAGATGTGTGAGTAGATATCCTACAGCACTGATGCATGGAAGAGATTCTTTACTCTGATTGGACGTTGGAGCAGAGGATACATATGCTCCATTATTAATTTTCCCTTGTATAATACTTCCAACACTCAAATTATTACAAAAATGACATGAGTAAAGTTACTACCAATATGCTTTCATAGTAGTATTACATATCTGAATATATAGTAATAAATATTGGTCATTAATAAAGTGGTGATATTGTTGACTTTGAAGTGTAGGGTAGAGCATTCAATGACCGCAAGCTAAGTTACTAAAGTATACGTCATTGAAATATGACTTTCATTTACAGAACAATCTGATATTGCATCAGTTTTTGTAATATTTACTTTGTTTAACCCCTGATTAGTTTTAGACTTCACTCATGGAAAAACAAAGCTTGAAAATGATGCATGTCTGTATGCTTGTTTTCCATATTTATGTTCAGTTTTATGCTTGCCACTTTTCTTCACTCACTAGTTTGAACTGTTCTGCAGTACATGACAAGATTGCCCAAATCCAGAAGGAGCTTTCTGATCTTCAAACTGAGCTGGGCAGGGTGGTTTACCTACTGAAAATAGCTGATCCTATGGGAGAAGCAGCTCGCAAGAGGGATCTCAAGCCACGAGAAACAAAATCTCCAGCATCTAATGATAGTCTAAGACCAGAGTCCAGAAAGCAAAACAAAGTTGCACAAAACAAAGCCTCAACAGAGGAGAAGCTTAAGGAATCTTGTGCTGAAAAAACACAAGTGGATAAACCAGCCGAGGAAGAGAAGGGTATCTCCACAAACCAAGAAAATGGCAGCAAACCTGCATTCTCCATTCCAAAACCTCAGTGGCTTGGTGACAAGAGGACCGTGGAATCTGAAGAGAACTGTATAAAAGAAGAAAGTGCCAATGAAGAGGAGACTGATAATTTTGTGGACTACAAAGATCGAAAAACTATTCTTTCAGGTTCCGCCAATGGAAAAGACCTTGAAGAAGCTGCTCCTGGGCTTATTTTACGGAAGAGAAAGTCTGATCAATCAGCAGCCAATGAGGTGGAATCTTCAGTTGAATCCGAAGCATCTGCTGCTGATGCTGTGGCCCTCTTGCTGAAGCACAAACGTGGTTTACAAACTTCTGAAGATATGGAGGATGAGAATGAACCACAAGCTAGCAAGAGAAAAAGTAAAAAGTCGAAACAAAAACGCGTACTGGGTCCAGCAAGACCAGATTTTCTGGACGCAGGTCCAGATCATGAAACATGGGTGCCACCTGAAGGTGAGAATTTGGTACTAATTTCTAGCACACTAGTTATCCCTGACAAACTGGTAATTGCTGATTGTATTCTGCAGGTCAAACTGGTGATGGCCGCACTTCATTGAACGATCGTCTGGGCTACTGAAGTTTTCACATTCAAGACTCGACTCGATGCGTCATGAAGAAGAATTCAGTAGCGACGATCGCGGTATTACTGCAGCTAGTCCTTGAGCATGCGTTTCATATAACTTCAAATGGAAACTGGCCCCTTTTTATTAGTTGCTCGCCATTTCCTGAGACTGTAGTAGAGGCTGTGTAAGATTGCGAATTTGTAGAAAATGAGAGTTGAAATGACAGGTGGTGGATCTGTATGGGAATGGTGTCACCTGTCCAGGGGTCACAAAGGATGCAAATGTCATTTTCAGTTCGCTACGAGAATGGGGTGGGATTTTGTAATGTACATCATCGTCCCATAGTATAACGGTTGTTTGGTGCCAGTGGAACAGGGTGGCCAATTATGTAGTACTCCCTCCGTTTCACAATGTAAGTTATTATAGCATTTCCCACATTCATATTGATGCTAATGAATCTATCTGCATCAATATGAATGTGGGAAATGCTAGAATGACTTACATTGTGAAACGGAGGAAGTAGTTATCTATATCATTTTGACAAACTCTTTCTTTCTCTTGGATTATATACTTATTAGGCCATCACAAAAATTAGTCTGTACAGCAAGGAAGATAAGAACAATTAGCAATTTAAGTTCTTTTAGTCTATATAATTGAAGCCTTGTTGCCAAGAAAACATATCCTATATACTATATATCTACAGTGATATACACTAGAGATAATCATAGAGATGATTGTGTCCCATACTATATTTATGGTTTAATAAATAAAGTGCTATTCTGTTCCTTGAAGAATGTGAGGAGGAGATGGTCATATTGCTAAGATCTACTATTTCCTCTATGTCAACGCATGCTCCATCAGACCGGGCTACTTAGACACTCCTTCCGTGCAGCTATACGCGTCGAGTGGTAATGATCTATGATCTCTTATTTGCATGGCTTTCTAGTTTGGTAGAGATTTGGGAGGCTGCTACGGATCGGACGTCCGATTTGGTGTAAATCGTCAGATGGTGTTGCACCATGTTACCGAGGAATGTTTCACATATTTCATCCCTCAGAAAAAAAATGTTTAAGATGTTTCACTCCTAGAGAAAAATGTTTCAGCGTTTGAGGAAAATTGTTTCAACCAAACGCAATATTCAACAATACGGATTTGGCGGATTGTAACACCAAGAAATCAATTCATGCAAACATCAAGTCAAAATGGAATGAAACACCTTAATACAATTAATACAATAAAGTGCAACAAAAAATATACAAAGTTGAAACATCATACGGTTGTTGCACTGTATTGTTGCAAAATGTTTCAGATGTTTCATCAATCAGGGAAAAATGTTCCATCGCATCGACGAAAGTGTTTCAACCAAATGCAATCGAAACACATGAAAAATCAATATATGCAACATCGAATCAAAACAAAATGAAACACCTTAATACAACAAAGTGCAACACAACTAACCCACCTCCGTCTTCTTCTTCAACTCCAGCCACCATCCTCAACTCCGGCCGCCATCCCCAGACGAGCAGCAGCACGAGATGGATGACCTCGGCTAGGAACAGCTGCATTCGCATTAAGTCCCCGCCGGTGGCCATGTCTTCAGATTCACTCCCGCCGTCGCCATTGCCATTGCTGGAGCACAGGCACGATGGAGGCGTGCTTCACCCCTGCCGCCGCCGCCGCCGCCTCCGCCTCCCCTCGGGCCGCCGCACCGCCGTGCTCCTCCGCTCCGGCACCGCCGCGTCGTCCTCTTCCGAGCGCCGCCGCCGGAGCCCAGGCACAATGGAGGCGTGCTCCGCCCCCGCCGCCGCCTCCTCTTGGACCGCCGCGCTCCTCCGCTCCGGCACCGCCGCCGCCTCGTTGCTCCGCGTCCGCCCGCTTGGCCGTTGCTAGCACAGGCATGGGGAGAGGAGAGAGGAAAATGAATGGTTGGAAAGGAGATAAGGTTGACTGCTGGGGAAAGAAATGGAGAGAGTAGTTAGGTGGGAGTGGTTAGCGTCCGATTTTTTTGTCACACGCCGGACGTACGAGTTAAAGCATTTTCGAGAAATTAGTGTTTTATGCTATCTTTGCACCAGCCTGTCCAGTTATGTTTTCTGCAGCCATAACTACCTCATCCTGAGTGTCCACCCAAGGATTTATAGATAAAAAATACCGAGGCCACCAAGCTCATGGGTCGTTGCACCTTGGCCCAACACGTATACAAATGCCACGCATACAAATTTCGTATACTTATGTATTAAAGAAACCATAAAATAAACGGGAAAGAAACTGAAAAAAAAATGAAAAAACAAAAAACCAAAGAAAAACCAGCGCACGTGTGCCCTCCTCGCGCGCGGTCCGCCGTCCGTCTCTCCGCGCGTGCCACGTGTTTGTTGATGAAAAAAAAAACATGCACTTAGCATGAGAGATCTGCTTAACTCTATTGTATGTTCAAATATTGCTTTCGGGTTTAGGGCGTGCTAATTGGTTTAATCCTGCAATCAATAAGAATAAACAGATAACTATTATTAGTAAACGATAGTCGTAGTAAAACGATAGCCGATCAGTTAAAGGGCCGATGTAGTATCGCTTTATAGTCCCAGCCGATGCAGGTAGGGTGAATCGGCCATAATATATTTGTAAGCAAAAGAAAACCCTAAACTTGTTTCATCGGCGGTAGAAAACAACATTATATAATCTATAAATCAATATTATCTTGAATATTAGCAGTTGGGATAGATCGGACTTAACCGAGACAGTATAAATTACTTGTATCCAAAATAACATGAAATAAAGATTATATCCGTTCATGTCATAGCCGATGGCCAAGTTTAAGTATGTATCGGCTATAGCTCTAATACTACCTTATACTGGGATATCATCTTATGTTAAATATATTAAACAAATATCAACTCAGAGTCAGATTGAACTAACAAAGATTAATGATAAGCTAAATATATTTAAATAGTGGCAAAATTTGCTACATGACACGTAAAAATCGTGTAATTGGCTAAGGGACACCGTAAAAGCGTGACACTGCCCATGGACACTGCAAAAGTTGTGTAATTGGCCATAGGACACCAGACGTATTTTTTTTATCATTTTCGGGATGAAAATGCTGTGATTTTTTTCGTAATGCCTAGATTAGCCCTGCCCACCCACCAGAAATCCCCAAACCTAACCCTAACCCCAGCTTGCAACGGCGGCGGCGGCGGTGGTGGTGGCGGTGGCAGAGGAGGCAGCTTCGGCTTCGGCGACGGCAGCGACGAAGATGGCGGCAAAAACGTCGATGCTGCTCAGCAGCTTGCTGCAGCGCTCAAGTAAGTCGTGGTCAGTCCAGAGCTCATCGGGCAATGCGGGAGCAGACATCGGCTGCGTCGCCGGTGCTCGGCTTCCTGAGCGGTGGTTGGTACCTCCCGGCGAGACACGTCGCTGCGGGGACTGAGGGCCGCGTCGAGCGGCGTCGGCGTCGGCTCGGCGGCGGCGGAGGAGGCCCTTGAGCTGGATCGAGCGTGGTCCCATGCGTGTCCTCGTCGCCGCCGCACTATCTCGCCGCCGCTCTCGAGCGGGCACTCGCACACAAACGTCGGCGTGCGCGAGAGCGCATTTGACGCTGTCCGCTGCCGACCGCCGGCCGGAGTGGTGGCGCCTGCAGCTAGTTCGGTCTCCGCACCGCCGCGCTTCCCGTTCCGTCTCCGGCGAACTTGAACCCACCTCTTTGGCACGAAGAAGCTGACGACACTGAGGACCAGTGCGGCCATGGCGGCGTAGGCGCACACACGAAACAGGAAGATGGACAGGCAAACAATGGCGATGTCGTAGAACACTCAAGCCGTTGACACTCAGGGGCAATCTAGGCATTTCGAAAAAAATCTCACCACTTTCATCCCAAAAATAATAAAACAATGCATCCCGTGTCCTATGGTGAATTACACAACTTTTGCAACGTCCATGAGCAGTGTCACGTTTTTGCGATGTCCCTCAGCCAATTACACGTTTTATGCGTGTCTTGTAGCAAATTTTGCCTTAAATACTGGAGATCCCAATATAAGGGGTAGATACAACTTGTTAAACAAGATAAGATTGAGGTAAAACAATTGTACCAGATAAAATCAGCTGAAACCCGATACTATCTCTATTAGCAATCATAAAATAGGCTAGAGATTATAGTTCTAAACATGACTCAGGTGGTGATTGAATCTCCTAGAGATGAAGATGAAGATAAATATTAAGTGTTTCACGCAAAACGAGGTGGTAATAAAATGTGATTAATTGAGTTTTAATTATTACAAACTTGAAAAATAGATTAATCTGATATTTTAGAACAACTTTCATATAGAAAGTTTTCACATGAAATGGACCATTTAGTAGTTTGAAAAGCGTGCCACTTTAATCCAAAAATTAATCCACACTTTCCAGGACTAACTAACGAGGGCTTAGTAGATCGAACCTAACTGATACATCACTAAGTATGAAAAGAAACATAATATCTAGACAATCAAGCTGATGATTGCCTTTTCAGGATGGTAGCTAATCTGAATCGACGAGATCTATTTAAGTTATATTGATATTACCCTTCATAAGGTATAATCAATATAATTAAATAGATATATCGACTTAGATTAGCTAAGATATATGATAACAGAAAAGTCTTACCTCTTACCGAAGATTGAAGCCGATGTAGCCTGACTCGAAACAAGAACTCATCGAGAATTATGAAAGTAAAAGTGTGGCAATGCACCGAGAGTTTATTGAACTGGTGTTAATTATTTACATGGTCCTGGGCATCTATTTATACCCGAAAATACAACTTGTCCATATCGGACATGACTCAAACTTCCCTAACTTAACTCTAACCGACAAACAAGTCCCTTAAGCAGACCCTTACCAAAATATCACTAAAGGAATGACATCACATCCTAATTAATAGATACAACTGTCTAATCACGGACCTCATCCTTGCCCAGCAATATCATTGAAGCCTTCATCTTGAAACCGATACCGACTATATCGACTCCCTCATCCAATTCCAACTCCAATCGGTAACCATCTCCAACTCGGACTCAGCCAATATCATCCCAGCTGATGCGAACTCTGTTCCCGAAATTATCGCACATCTCTCAAATCCGCTTTGGATTGGATTTTTGACTCCGATTCATGCCTTACCAAATTTCATCGTCAACAGTGTCCTAGTCAAACTCTGTTCCCGAAATTATCACACATCTCTCAAATCCGCTTTGGATTGGATCTTGACTCCGATTCATGCTTTACCAAATTTCATCGTCAACAGTGTCCTAGTTGTGCGCGGCGGGGTGTGGGGGTGGGGGGGGTGTGTGACTGAAATTTTTATATTTTGGTCCTTTTTGAAAACTTATTTTACAAATGAACCCCTAGAAAAACTTATTCTAGGAATGGTCCTTTTTGGTGCGCCAGAGTGGCTGGCGCCGTCCTCCAATATGGTGGTGCCGGCCACACTGGCGCCGTCTCCATGCCACCGTGGCACTAGGGCATACGTGCAATGTATGATGTGGCAACGGGGGGCGCCAGCCATACTGGCGCCGTACCTCATACCACGACGCCAGCCAGGCTGGCGCACCCCTCCTGGGTGGGCCGCGCGCAGCCCGTTCTACCTCGGGCTGGAGGCTGGCGCAACCCCTCCCACCACGGCGCCAGGGTGGCTAGCGCCGCCCACCAGCCCCAAGCACGTTCTACCTCGGGCTGGATCCACATATTGGCCTGCTACTTGTATCGGGTATTCAGGGTTGCCTCCATACGACAACCAATTTAGGTTGTTACCTACATCTTCCGACAAATGTTCACTTAGATCAAGCCCCTCTTGTACTAATTCCCTTTTCATCTCCCTGGCTGCATCCACATCATCATCACCGCAATGTCTCTTTGATGGTCATGCCTCCCCTAAATCATTTCCAAACAAAGGTCTCTTCTTCTCTTCTTGCCCATCCAAGTCTTCTCGTACCAACTCAGTCTTATTTGCACCCCCTCCATGACGAGAAGAATATATCACAGAATTCTTCTCAACGTAATGATAAGAAGGAGATTTGTTTAGATCCAAATTATCTACGGTACGTACCAACTTTGATGCAAATACCTCTAGAGATCTAAACTGAGACTCTTTTATCAAATCAAAGTAAATTTCCCATTCCAACTGACCTAGCACATTCAATATATACTTATGCTCTTGACCAACATCGTATCTCCCATAAAAACGAATCTCCACATTATTCTCGGTCCATCCAAGAACTTCTTTCACTCGTGACCTTAGTTCATCTAGAGTTGGGCGGGTGGGAAACAAAATGGACTTCAATGACATATCTTCAAACTCAACATATGCACCAACGTAAGGTTCCACCACTCTACCATCGTAGTAATCAATTGTGACTTTGCAACTAAAATTACATATTCCTTCCTAAACGTAGTCCAAACCGACATATTATAACCAATACATAACTTAAATTGTCCCAAAGCTACTACTCTACAAAAAATATTTAATCCACATCCAAAAGTATCAACAAGTTTACTAGTGCATTAAACATCAAAATATTGCAAATACTCCGTCATACAACCCAACCTAGTTCTAATTAACTATAATAAATTTTTATAATGCAACCAAATTCGTCTCCCCTTCATATAATTAATGGCTAAAAGTTTAACCTAGAGCATCAAGTCCATCAAATTAAGATTACTTTCATTCCTCAACTCCATTTTTTCATCCATCCATCTAACCAAACCATCCAAAAATTCACATTACCACATATATAGTTCAAAAAATCGTGACACCAATGAGTACATTGCACAGATGTAGCACTACAACAAGCAAATCCCAACAACAAATGTAAAAAAATCACAAATTTGGGCAAAAAAATTGGTTCTAGGGTTACCCTCCGATCTACAAATTCAACCGATTAAAACGAAAAAAAAGAGGGGGGAATGGAGGAGTCTACTTTTCTATTCAATTTCCACAAAAAATCTAGCGAAAAACGACTTCAAATTGAGTGGATTTGAGGTGGAGAGGTGAGGGGGAGAGAGAGAGGGAGAAGAGCTCCTGCTTGGCTTGGGCTGGGAGAGAGGTGCGATTTAGCTGTGGGGAGGAGAAAGGGGGTGGGGCCCGTGGGGTTAAGGGCGCGGCCTACACAGGAGGGGTGCGCCAGCATCGCTGGCGCCGTGGTATGAGGGGCGGCGCCAGTGTGGCTGGCGCCCCCCTTTGCCACGTCACCCCTTCCACATATGCCCTACTACCACGGTGTCACTTCGGCGGCGCCACGGTGGCTGGTGCCGCCATGTTGGGGGACGGCGCCAGCCACTCTGGCGCACCAAAAAGGACCATTCCTGGAATAAGTTTTTCTAGGGGTCCATTTGTAAAATAAGTTTTTAAAAGGGACCAAAATATAAAAATTTCAGGGGGGGTGTGACACGCACGCCGAGAGCCCACGGTGGCGCTGGTCGACCCGGATCATGACATAGAAAAACAAATCCATCATATCTATTATATTATTAAGATAACTTTGAAAGGATGCATTACATTTGTGGGGGCTAGAAATTACGACATTAATAAAAATGGAGAAAAATATTAGCATTTAGATCATAGCAGTTGTAGATTTAAATGGTTGAGATTTAATCAAAATTTGCATAGAATTACTCGGTTTCACGTATGTCGGGCATACTACAGCACTAAAAAGAACACATCGATGATACGTTGTGATGTCAAACTCGGCTTCATGGGTTGGTATTGGAAATGGACATATTATGTCAGATGGTTTCACTTATGGCAAGTTACAGGACACCATATTTCAAGGAACATAATTTGGGCCCTGTTTTGAAGATTAGCATAGGACTAATTTTGAGAGCTAATGTTAGTCTTGAATTGGTAGGCTAAACATTAGCTTAGGATAATATGTTTGGATCTATGGGCTAATTCAGGGCGAAAAGATGGGGAGAAAGTGGAGAGAGGAGAGAGAGAGGAGAGATATGGCTGCTTTTTATGGTCCCCACAGAAAATTAGTCCCTTTAGCACCCCTTGGAGGGGCTAATGTTTTGAGGGGGATAATTCACTTCAGCCCTAAATTAGCCCACCTGTTTGGATCCTTGGGGCTAATTCAGGGCTAAAAGGTGAGGGCTAATAATTAGTCTATGAAACCAAACAGAGCCTTGATGTAGTAAATTAATGTGGAAAAATGATAAAAATTTCCCACATTAATAAAAGAAAATGAAAAACGAGAGTTCAACTAAGAATATAATATAGAAATAATTAAAATACGAAATAAAAAAGAGTATTAAAAGAACAGTGAAACTAGAATATGACACGACATTAATGAAATTGGAAATAAAAAATATATATCAAAATTGGATTCCTACATGAATTCCAAATAAACTTAAAAAGTTATTAAAATTAAAAATATAAATATAATAAAAAAATTGATTTGAACAATTAAAAAAGGCACATCAGACATTAAGAACGGTTTCTATAAATTAGTCCTAAGGCCACGGGAGGGCAAGCTGCTCAAATATTAAGAAAACAAAACGTGTTGTTGCGATTGATATATACGGCCTAAAAGAAAGCGCCAATGTCACTTTGGATATCTAGAAATTACCACCTGAATTGAAGAAAAAAAAAAGGCTACGTCATATGGTGAAACTATGTTATAGCATTGTAGATTAAGAAAAAAACAAACAAAAAGTCTAGAAGAATTGTAGCTCTATTTTTATATCTAGACAACATGTACATATGTCTTCTATTTTGATTAACAAAATTTAAAAAACTAGGATTGACAATTTAAAAAAGGCATATCAAGCTTTAGAAAGGTTTTCATAAATTATTCATACTAGGAACATGCGAGGTGAGTTGTTCAAGTGACGAATAGTAGGAGCTGCAATAGTGCTACCCGATAAGAGGAAAACAAGTAAAGCAGAGAATACGATGGCAGCAACAGTTGGCGGGAGTTATGATGTAATCACGAGAATGATAGGTTTTGATTTCATTAGGTGCCAATGATAATGAATAAGAGAGAAGGCGTGGGCTGACGAGTGGATAGTGACAAAAGAGTAGGGAGGTGGTAGTTGCCATGGAAGGGCAAGCCAAGGGGCAACTAAGGAGTAAAGTGGTGGTAGTGGCTTCTAAAAACTATAAAAATACCCCAACGATGGTTATATATATTTTATAAGGTGATGACGACAACAGAGATGGGAAACAACGGGACAGACGGATAAGTGGACAGGCAACAAAAGACAAGGGTGGCGATGGTTGCTATATGAGAGCGAGCCGAGGAATGGCAAATGCCAATAAAGAGGGGGACATCAGGCGGGCTATAAAGGAGCAGGGTGGCGGTGGTTGATAGAACATCTAAAAATTATAAAACATAACCCCAATGACCATTAGAATCCTAATATCGATAAAGAGGAGGGGCAAAAGGCAGGCTATAAGGAGTACGGTCGTGACAGTTGATAGGACTTTTAGGTAGTATAAAAAGAAACCTCAACGATGATTAGTTTCGAATTCTAAAATCCTAATGACAATAAAGAGTGGGAGGGAGACAGCAGGCAGGTGGTGGCATTTGACGACACTTCTAAAATTTATAAAGACGGAACCATACTAGACAATAAGCTCTAAAAACTGTAAGATCTACATTTTAAAGGTACCAAAGAAAATTAATAGAAACTATGGTGGGCCGAACAAAGTAAAAGATCATAAAAGGAGCAAGACATGATGGTTGATGTGACTTTTAAAACTATAAAATTGAAAATCCGATGATAATAAGGTTCAATCTTTTAAAATCCAAAACAATAAGATGACTTTTTAATAAATTTTAAAGAACATTATGTGTAAAAAAAATAGATAATTTGTATCGCTGCTAGCCGCGCATTTGCGCGGGCCACTTACATTTTATACTGCAAGTTAATTAAGTGATAGATTAAATCAATTCATACCATTAGATCATTTATAATTACCGTAAAAGTTCTCGGATTTTAATCAATTAGTTAAAGAAAATTGCTGCAGCTAGCTAGCTTGCTTAGCTCCCAATTGAATGGGCCATTGGAAAAGCTCAAAAGGTCAGCGAGCTAGCAACCTGGCTACCCGATGAACCTCTTGGACTTTTTGATGCTGAGCGTCGCAGTCCTGGAAATCGGGAAACTGTTTTAATTACTCGAGTGTACGTAGAAATCTGAATAAACTTCGTCATGTACAGTCACGCTTCATAGACCCACATTACAGGTGCAGATCATCAATACACATGTGCATCCAGAAGAAAAGCTACAGTAGTGCTTTTCTTAAAAAAAAAGGAAAAATAAACCCACGGAAGCCTCCAAAAACACAAGAAAAATCAACGGTAAATCGATTCGACACATGGTAGCATAAGACGGACATGAGCTGCTACTGCTATGCTCTTAATATTATGCGTGCACATTCAGATTTGGCACATAATTTGTCGGCACACCACTCTAAGACACCGAGTAATGCAAATTCAAGGGAAACAAGCACATGGACTAAAGGGCACACAAAACGATTGCGCACGTGTATCTGAACGTGCGACTGAGTTGGCACACAAGCTAGCTGGACTGGGAGTGAGTGATAAATGGAAGGAATGATGAGAACGGATACCTTTTCCTCGATCAGATCAGCTAGCGCCGATCCTCTTGCTTTTTCGAGAACAAGTTGGAGATCCATGGAAACCTTGTCTCGTCTTCCTCTTTTGGTGCTGGCCCGTGATGCTGTGGCTTCTTGTGTGTAAGAATAGGCTTCCTTTTATGCGCATTAATGGCTTTTCTCACCTTGTCAGGGACAAAATCACCGTTGAACTCGAGCTCCTTGAATTCTGGGAGGTTGGCGATGCCGGAGAGTAAACAAAAATCCTTCCTACTGAAGTGCCACACGATCTTCTCGAGCTTAGGAGCAGATCCATCGGCGAAGCTGATGTTGATTATTGTAGAGCACTCAACGATAAGAAGGTTGAGCTTTGGGAACTCATCCTTGTTAAAGGCAAGCTGGCTTTCATCGTAAGACTTGTCCAACAGCACTATGCTGCCCATGTTTGGTTTATTTGCGAGGATATGCATGTCCTCTTGCTTCAGTAAGGTATCACAAAGAGTCACTTTGGTAATCTGATTGGCATTGGCAAAGAATGAAAGAAGGAACTTGTGGCCCTTCAACTCAATCTCCTTCAATTTTGGAAGGCCTTCAACCCCACTAAGAGAGTTTACATTGGTCAAGGACAAAACAATCTTCTGAAGCTTAGGAGCTGCTTCTTTTTCAAAGATGATGTCGGTCATGTTGGGGCCTTCAACAACGAAGTTCTTGAGTTGTTCAAATTCACCCTTCTTGAAGGTTAATAACCTACTCTCAGAGTTCATATCAGGAGCTATTCTGTCTTGAGGTAATGAAAGGATGGAGTTGTTTCCCTTGAGCTGGAGCTCCATCAATTTTGGAAGGCAGCCAATGCCACAAAGAGAGCATATGTTGGTGAAGGACAAGATGATATGCTCAAGCTCAGGAGCTGCTCCATTTTCAAAGATAATGTCTGTCATGTTGACTCCCTCAACAAGAAAATACTTCAGATGTTGGAATTCATCCACCTTGAATGTGAGCGTTCTCTCAGTGTATGCCTTGTGTTGGAACCTAACACAGCACAAGTTGGGCAGTACAGCCATGACCATCAGATCGTTCTGTTTCAGTTCAGTGCCGCTCAAAGTTACCTTGGCAAGTTCATTACTACCTCTGGCCAACAATGGAAGAAGTCGCACCCTATGTGTAAGTCCATTGATGCTTAGACTCTCAAGAAGCTTAGGTGGTTGTACCAAGCGACCGAACATTTCAGGTAGTAGTAACTGTTTGTTAGGGGAAATGCCTTCACTTTTGGTTTCATATACAGTGATGGAAAGAGACTGGAGGCACTCTTTCAAGTCACTAATTGCTCGAAGCAATTTATCAAGGTGAGAATCCTTGTCGTGGATGACCACACCGAACTTCCTTAGCCGCCATAGCTTTCTAATGTTTTTTAGCTCATTTCCATCCCATGAAGCCTTGACATTGGATAGTACCTCTATGTTTTCCATCTTTTCAATCTTGCGAGGGATCCGGACACTGGAATATAATGACATCTCATCCCCAATGGGCATGCCCATGTCATGACTATGCCTCTGGTTAACATGACCAGCAAGAAGACGCCTCAGCTTTAGGAGCATGACATCTCTTGTTGTATGCTCAGGCATCTTGGTTTGCTGGATATCCAATACCTCAAGCTCGTGGAGGTTGTTGATTTCACTAGGCAGATGGGTAACATTTGTTCCCCTTACGCTCAGATACTTGAGAAGTAATATTTTGTTGCATATGTCCTTGAGGTAGTGATTCTTATTAAAGCATTGACAGTTCTCCAAATCTAGTACCTTGAGCAGTGCCAGTTGAGGTGAATACTTAGGAAGCTTGTGCACGAACTTGTCGATGCCATCAGATGCGCGGAGTCGAAGACCACTGAAGATGGAGAAGTGGCGAGCCCAAAGATCTGAAAGGCGTGCATCCAAAATGTGTTGTTTCTTGGCCATCTTGGTTATAAACCCATGAATTGGATCACATACCATACAACTCTTGACTTTTCCTGCAGCACCAATATCGCTAGGCCAAACAAGCCACCGGTTGATGAGAGCATCAAAACATCTCTCGGCATGACGAACTGCTGTCGGCCAATCTTCCTTGGTTATCAGCCCTTCTGTAAGCCATCGTGCTATTATAGTTGATCGTCTGATTTTGTGACCTGGGGGAAAGATAGCTAGGTATAGCAAGCAGGTCCTATGCTCTCTTGGTAGATCTCTGTAGGAGAATTTGAATATCTTCTTAGCGTTACTAGTGGCCAATGAGTTTTGGGGAACCTGCAAGGCTTCATGCAACTTACACAGTTCTTCATTGCTCCTGTTTGGATTAGCATATAGAGCATGCATGAACATCTTCATGGAGAATTCTTGTGGATCACACTTGTCCAAGATGTCCCGGAGAATCTGACGATTGTAGTCATCTTGATTCTCCCGCTGGTTTGTAAGCTTGAGCACTCTATCATGGTAGAGGCCAACAAGTGAATAGGTTACAGGCTCCCCAGGCGGAAAACAAAATTCCTTGGCCCTCTGATTATTCTTTGTTGCCACGATCACTGCACTACCTGTGGCACAACCCAACAAACTCAAAGCATTTCTAGTCTTCTCCCACTGGGATACATACTCTTCTTCATCTTGGAGAACAATCACAGCCTTCTTATTATCCAAATGATCCTTAATCTTGTCAACTATCCCTTTGATAAACAGCTGGTCCTTAATCTCCAATGACATCTCATACATCTTATCCTTGGTTCCCTTGATAGCATCAACAACAGCGTTATTAGATATTTTATCATGACCGCCCATGCCCAGCTGCTTGGTTTGTTCTTCGACATAGTTGCCTTGTAACAGCTGGAGCTTGGACGACTTGGAGAGCAGATCCTGTGTGATGCCTTCCATCAATAGACGCGTCTTATTCTCATCCTCATCCACCATCTTCTCCTTGGCTTCTTCGTTTGCAGCCGCAACAGAGTTAGCGCCTTCACCTTTGGTGACACATGTGGTTTGTTCCTTGACAGAGTTGCCATCCAACAGGTGGCGCATGGGAAGAAGAAGCTCCCGTATGATTTCTAGTGTAATCTTGTGGTTGTGGACTATCTCCCTGATGTGATCCTCACCCAATGTAGAAGCGGCGGCTTGTTCAGACTGTGGAGGAGGTTTGGTGGATGCGGGGGGGAACATCTTCTGCAGGATGAGCTCATATTGGGTATTATCCAGACGAATCAGGGGCTCAGCAGCCTTGCCTGCAGGAGCTTCCATATGTTCTTTGAGCATCTCGACCGCCTCCTGCATAATCTCCTCATCAGATGATAATGGCTTACACTCTGGCGCCATTGGCGCGAACCGTAGCGCTTCGACGAGTATGCCCAAGGGTTTATCAGAAAGGGTGATAGGATTCAGGGTCTTGGAGCTCTTATTTTTTTCTAAATTGTTGCTCTTCCCGCTCTCGAGTTGTTCAATCTTGCCCTTGATTTCTTCAATCTTGTCGTCGACCTTCATTTGTGCAATCGTCGTATGGATTTCGTTGTATACATCGCTTCTGTAGGAGTAAGCTTGCCATCGGCCATACTCGCCGCCTACATGATCAGATGTGCCTTGGTGCTGGCAACGATGCAGGATGTAGCAGAGGATCTCCTCAGGTAGGAGAGGAAGATCCCATGGGTGGTGAACATCCCTGAGGTTGATCCAGACCCGCCGGTCGAAATGGACGGCCGCCAAATCCAAAGACTGACGTGCAATGGCGCCAGCGTTGTCTGCACCTCCCTGTGCAACAATGGCGATGGACGGCATCAGCCCCGCTGCGGCTGCGCGGCCGGTTTCAGCTTGCAGCTTGAGCCAACCAAGGAGCTTCTCGGCGCAGTAGTCGTCTAGAGCGCGAGGCTCTAGCAATCTGCGACGGTGGTCATCACAACTATCGGCAGCCGCAGCTGCCATCTGGTTACGATCGTCGTCGTCGTCGTCCTCTTCTTCTGTGTCAGCTGCTTGATCAGGCGGCGACGACGATGGCGCCGCTAAGGGCGCCTTATCGTGGACCACCACGCCGTACCTTATCCGGCGCTCGCCGACGTCGCGCGCCCTCTCCTTGAGCTCGCGGAGGCGGGTGGCGGCGTGGTGCTGGGCGACCACCCTGTGCACAAGCCAGGAAGCCCACCAGAGGCAGCGGCAGCGGCCGCGCCTGGCACGGTAGACCGCGGGGTCGCCATGCTGGAGGTAGATGTCGATGCAGTTGCTGCAGTCGTGGGCGAGCTCCCGGACCTGCTTCATCCAGGTGCGCACCTGCTCGTCGTGCCCGCCGCCGCCGACGGGCGGAGCCGTCCTGGCCAGGTGCTCCAGGAAGCTGTGCATGCTCTCCATCTCCTCCTTGATGAATTCCACGTCGTTCCCGACGCGCCCCAGCAGCAGCGCCTCGTTTCGGAGGACGCCCAGCAGCGAGCTCACGGCGCCAGACGCGAGCTCTGCCATCGCCAGCAACTGCAACAGCCTCCGCCTCCGAGAGGCGCCAGGAGAACAGCCCGGCCAAGAGGTACTTTACTTTAGCTCGATCATCACCTATATCTCTAGCCAATGCATTGCCATGCATTGGAGGGAGTACTTTTGTTTCAATAATGCATCCCAATGCATATGATATGATGGTCCGGCCGGTTTCTTCAACACATGGGCTATAGCTTTTTCATCCTAGCTACTTGGAGTGGTTCCGTGACGAACCGTGTGCCATGAGAATCTAGCACTTCAATTTATTTTTATTTCAAATCTTCTATCTATCTATCTATCTATTATATTATTAAATCAGCTTTAAAAGAAAGCCCCACGTAAAATCTACACCGTCATGATAGCTTCAGATTTTAATGGTCAAGATTGATCGGATATGTACGCATAAGAGAAGGAAAAATACTATAGACTAATCTTGCTCGGACTGTCAAAGAAAGAAATCTTGCATAGACTTCTGTTCGGACTCCAAGTGTTTTCTGAACCGGATTGCATGGCCTGATCATTGCCGGGCAATAGAAAAAAATCATGTCCAACTGACACGTATAGGGCCATATGCAAGAAAAAGGACTAGGAAACAACCAGACTGAATGACCCTGATTCTTGGTAGCCATGTATATACATAGATGAGAAAAGATAATAAGTAAAAATATCTCATTAAATATTGATTATGTTTTTGTTAGCATTAGATCAAATCTTAAATCTATGGTCCACCTGTCTACTGTATTATACAAATTTTTTTTTAAAAAAGTGTTGAAATGAGATACCACGTTCGCTGTGGAAGCTATAAATTCTCAAATTAATTAGAGAAAAAAGAAAAAAGGTTCAAGTAGAAATACATTTAAAATAACTAAAATTCATAATAAAAGAAGGAATACTGAAAAAGAGTCCATAGAACATAGTTAGAGGTTAAGTAAAATTCAGAATAAAAATAAAATAAATTCTGAAATTTGAAAATAAAAATAAGAGTTTAAATAGAAATACAATTTAAAAACAACTAAAATTCAAAATAAAAATTAATGAATAATGAAAGAATAGTCCCTGCATAACAAAATACGAGATTAATTATAATTAAGAATTGAAATAAATAAATTCCGAAATTATAAAAAAAGCTCAAGATTTACAAATAACTAAAATTCAGAAAAAAAAGAATTGTTGAAAGAAGAGACCATCTAGAAGACAACATGAGATTAATTAAAATAAATAGAATAAATTTTGAAAATAGGAAAATAATTATAAGAGTTCAAGTCGGAATATAATTTATAAATAAAAAATATTGGAAGAAAAATATGGATTTTTCAAACACAAAAATTCATCTATAAAACAGATGACAAATGACAATAAAGATGGAAGAAACAATAAGCCTGTAAAAGAGCAGAGTGGTGACGGTTGGTGGGATATCTAAAAACTATAAACAAAACCCCAAATAGAATCCCAATGACGATTGAAAGGAGTAACGACAGACATGCCGTTAAGCAACATGATCACAGCGGTTGGCGGGACTTCTAAAAAGTAAAAAAAAATTAACCCGAATAATCATCATGTTCGATTTTAAAATCTCAATGGCAGGTAAGAGAGAAATAGCGGGCCAGCCATAGAGGAGTACAATGGCAAAGCCGCTAATAGTTTGGTGAGACTTCTAGAAAGTAAAAAAATGAACCCAAACAATAATTTTGTTCATTTTTAAAATCCTAATGATAATAAAAAAAGGGGTAGCGGACGTGTTACAGAGGAGTGTAGTAGCAGCGTTTGACAGTACTTCTAAAAATTATAAAAATGAAAACCAACGAAACAATAAACTCTAAAAACTACAAGGTCCAATTTTAAAGGTTCGAGACTTCTAAAAAGTAAAAAAAAAACCCTAATGATAATCATGTTTGATTTTAAAATCCCAGTGACAATAAAGAGAAGAGGCAACGGGCGAGCCGTAGACAGTGGCAAAGGCGCTGACGGTTTGGTGGGACTTCTAGAAAGTAAAAAATGAACCCAAACCATAATTATGTTTAATTTTGAAAATCCTAATGACAATAAAGAGAGTAGGCAATCGATGTGCCGTAGAGGAGCATAGTGGCAACGTTTGACGAGACTTCTAAAAATTGTAAAAAGGAAATCCAATGAGACAATAAACTCTAAAAACCATAAACTCTAGATTTTAAAGGTTCCAAGGAGAATGAATAGAAACAATGGTAGATCGAGAAAGCAAATAAAGAAAGGGGTGATAGAAGTAAGGGGTAGTGACTGGCGTGACTTTTAAAAAACTATAAATTAGAAACATAGGGATGATATAGTTTAGTCTTTTAAAGTCTCAAGATAACGAGATAGCTATTTATTAAATTTTAAGTAAAATCATATTAGAAATAGATAATTTTGTATAGGTGTTAGCCGCGCAATTGCGCGGGCCACCAAGCTAGTTAACTTATTAAAGGAATAGAAAAAAGAGCCTCCACGTTCGCTCTCACGGCCTAGAAATTCTCATATTAATCGGAGAAAAAGAAAAACAGAGTCCATATAGAAAATATAATTTACAAATAGTTAAAATTCGGAATTAAAAAATAAGGAATATTGGAAGAGGAGATTAGAGTCCATTTTGTTGATATATTTTTTCTTTATCTAATCCAATATTAATCAATGGTGTAGTGTTTTTTTAATAATTAGTTTGCTCTATACACTGATCGAGCTGGGCAACATACCCCACTTATATTTTCATTCTCGTTTAATATAAAAAAGTTAACCCAGGGTAGCATATATAATTGGACTGCAAAGGCTTGATTATAAGCTGAGCCCGATACAAAAATAATCAATGGTGTAGGTTTTTTCTCAATAATGTTTTAAAAAAACCTTACGTAACTACTTTAATAACATATATAGTACAATATGTGCTTTGGCGTGGCTTCAATTCTCGCTGCTCTTGGGAAAATATACCCTACTACTTTTTCTTTCGGTTGAGGAAAGCATTGCATCATTCCATGGAGGATAATATTCTTCAGCACAGTACGCCTGATCCCTTTACATCTTTATTGATCCGTTTCTTTCCTTACTCCGTATTGCCTGATTAAAGACAATCGACCTTATCTATTAACTTATTAAAGTAATAGAAAAAGTAGTCTCCACGTTCGCTCTCAAGGTCTATAAATTATCATATTAAATGGAGAAAAAAAACAGAATCCATATAGAAATACAATTTTAAAATAGCTGAAATTTGAAACTAAAAAATAGGGAATATTGAAATAGAAGACTACAGTCCATACGTATACAATTTAGAACAAATGAAAATTAGCAATTAAAAAATAAGAAAAATAAAAGTAGAGGTTAGAGTCCATATAGAAATATAATTTAGAAATAATTAAAATTCCAAATTAAAAAAAAGGAATATTGAAACAAGAGTATGAAGTCAATATAGAAATACAATTTATTTAGAAATAACTAGCCTCCACGTTCGCTCACACGGCCTAGAAATTCTCATATTAATCAAAGAAAAAAAAACAGAGTCCATATAAAAATACAATTTTAAAATAGCTGAAATTTAGAATTAAAAAATAAGGAGTATTGAAATAGAAGACTAGAGTCCATACTGGTATACAATTTAGAACCAACGAGAATCCGGAATTAAAAAAATTTTAAAAAATAAAAGTAGAGGTTAGAGTCCTTATAGAAATATAATTTAAAAATAATTAAAATTCGAAATTAAAAAGAAAGGAATATTGAAAGAAGAGTATAGAGTCAATATAGAAATACAATTTAGAAATAACTAAAATTCAGAATAAAAAAATAAACAATATTAGAAGAAAAGTACAGAGTCCATACATGATTACAGTTAAGAAATAAATAAAATTCTGAATAAAAAAAGAAGGAATATTAGAATAAGAGTATAGAGTCCATATAGGAAATTAGAATTAATTAAAATTTGGAATAAAAAATAATAAAATTAAAAGTAGAGTTTAGAGTCCATATAGAAATACAATTTACAAATAACAAGGATTTGAAATTATAAGAAATATTCTAGAAGAAGAGTCTAGAGTCCATATAGAAATATAATTTAGAAGTAACTGAAAATCCAAATTAAAAAATAAAGAATATTGAAAGATGAGTTTATAGAGTCCACATAGAAATACAATTAGAAACAATGAAAAATCAGAATTAAAAAAATAAATATTGGAAGAAAAGCCTAGAGTTCATAAAGAAATACAATTTACAAATAAATATATTTAGAATTTAAAAAATAAATATTGGAAGAGGAGTCTAGAGTCCATATAGGAGTATAATTTAGAAATAACTGGAATTCTGAATTTTAAAATAAGAAATATAGGAATAAATTTTATAAGTAATATAAATTCAGAATTAAAAAATAAAGAATATTGGAAGATGAGTGTAAAGTCCATATAGAAATACAATTTAGAAATAACTAAAATTTGATATTAAAACTAATTAATAACTATCATGTATATAAAATATAATATGAATATTACACATTGGTAGTTTGGTAAAGTTAGTACAAAATTAAAATTATGTTATCATTTTAATATATTTTAATAATAAAATAAGAATATATATATATATATATATACTATTATATAAAAGAGAATATAAGGATGCTAGCCGCGCAATTTGTGCTGGCCACCATGCTAGTTATTATAAAGAGGACATATTGACCTTGACGACCCTGTTAAGGCACAAAAAGATCAACCATCCTACAATCCCTGTGGCACTCCAGGTGGGGCACCTCTGGCGGCGAAACCCTACCCACTGTCACACGGTCACACCTGCCCTTCCTCCTCTCCGCCAAGCTGCCGCCTGAGCAGGGTGCCGGTAGTGCACGCGACCGCGAGGACAGCGACGGCGAGGCCACCTTCGCAAGATAAGCTGTTGCACGGGCAAGACGGCGATGTGTGGTGGCGCTCGCAGAGATGATGGTGGCGGCGCAGCGGCACTCAGGCTATCGCGGCAACGGCACTCGGGCACACACGGTGACAATTGCCCTACTAGCAGCGGCGCAGCATGATGAGGGCTCACACGACGATGGTGGCACTGTTGGTGGTGCATTGGCGGTGGGCCAGGGTCGACGGAGAGAAATTCGATGCAATATGCCAGATTCATGGTCGCCTTGGCTAGATCCAGCCAGATCCATCAGCGGCGGATGGACAACGTCGGCAGGTCAGGTTGGGG